GCCATAAAAAAGTAATTCACTAAAGTTTACATTCTAATTCACATACACACATATGTATATACTAGGAATGTTTATCCCGGGATCTCTTTTTTTAGGTCCCGAAAGTCCCGGGATTTTTGGCAAATATTCCCGGGATTTGCGGGATTTGTAATGTACACTGGTGGCAATAATAGAAACGTCTTATGTTGACCAGGTTTGGCTATATTTCTTTTGTTTATTTAATATTTTTTTTTTTTATAAATATGTGGCTCATTATACATATAATACCTTTGCGAAACCAAGGGTCCAATATAGTAAAATTTCGTCCTTACTTTTTCTCTCTGACGTCAGGATTTTTTAAAAGAACTTTTTTTTTTTTTTTTAATATTATAACTAACTTTATTAGCTTAAAAAAAATAGATTAAAGGGACATTTTCAATTCCTATTCGTCCTTGTAAACCCAAAAAATTCCGTAGAATTCTTTCTTTCATTTGGTACCCATATTTTTGTTCTACATTGCAATGATTTTTTTAAATAAGTTTTGCGACTAATCATATCTTTGAACTTATAAAGTTCTTTTAGAAAAATCATGACGTCAGAGAAATGCGCATTTTCATATAAGTATGCAGTAAATTATATGTAATATGAAGCAGACTTTTACAAAAAAAAATTAAATATTGAATAAAAAAAGAGATACATATGTATATACAAAACTGGTCGAGAGCTTCGCAAACAATATTGATGCAATTTTTTGATGTTAAGTTGTTGAAAAATAATAAATATCTAAATCCCGGGACTGATCTCGGGATGCCGGGATAGTAAAAATCGAAAAAATTTACATCCCTAGTACATATGTATGTGCGTCTACAAATAAATGCGTGCAAGGCGAGGAAGATTTTGAAGGTGGCAGCGCTTCAATCACAATAAAAGCAAAGAGCGCTACACAAATGTGCGAGTGAATTTAGTTTGCTGCCATGTAGTTTTGTTTTTAGTAAATTTTATTACACAAACGAAATAATTAACACAAAAGGTGAGCGCGAGATTTTCTTGAAGTGTTATTTACTCTGCGCATGCGTGAAGATTAATTCGGGCGCTATTTATCATAGCCGAATTTATTGTAATTAATTTTTGTTTGTCATATATGTTTATTTATAGGTAAACAAGTGGTTTCTGTTGACTTATTAGTTACATGAAAAAATATATTTTTCTTTTGCTAATTGCTTACACCAGAATATCAAGCCTATGCATACGTAACAGGGAAACTTCTAAAAATAAATATTTGTAAAAATCAAAGCCAGAAGCAACCAGTAGGGCAGGACCTAAATAGGAGAGTCACGGTATCCAGCAGTTGACAGTGGCATAGATCGCAGAGCTGTGGACAAAGGGTTCGTGATCAAAAGAAACCAGAGGCGGACAAAAAAAAACAAGTTGTAATCGTCGTAAAACAATTCTATTTATACCCACCTGATTGTTTTCGTACGTCACACTGTTATTTACAATGATTTTTAGTTTCCGAGTTTAACCAATAAAGATTAAAAATAATGCAAGAATTTATGTATGCCACCAGAAACCAGAAAAAACGATTAAAAACAATAATTAAAAATTGAGTTTTATTTAAGGTAATTATTATTACTTGATTGTTATTTTTTCGCTCAAAAATAAAGATTATTTTAGGAGTTTTATTTTTTCGCTCAAAAATAAAGATTATTTTATGAGTATTATTTTTTCACTTAAGAATAATGATCATTCAAAAAACTCAAAAGCTATACCAGCGTGGTTTCCGCCGTATTATTTTTATACGTAGCGGCACCCTTATCAAAGGAATAAGTCCCAAAATTTCCAGGTCAAAATTTCAGTAAGTTGCGTCTGTATAGCACTTTCAATTTTATAAATAATCATTATTTTTAAATGGCAAAATATAATTCAATAATATTTATTGTGACTGAGCTAAAAAATAAAAACCAAATAAAAATAATTTCCAGAAAATAGTCGGAAGACTGCAGAGAGGTTTTTATTTCAAAAACTCGTCAATCCGTTTCATGTTTAATCATGACCAGGCATGGGCAGAGAGTTAGCAGGTGCTAAAAGAGCGTAAGCGTCGTCGCGTGTACGTATACAAGCGAGAGCGCAGCGATGAGAACACGACAGCATGCAAAATGAATTAGGCACACTAACCCATTCTCACTTTTAGCGCACGCTTGTTTGTGGTAGTGCCCACCTCTGATCATGACCATACAGATCTCAAAACTTCACAGTCGTCCCGTTTTGTTTTTGCGTCATTTGCAGCTGATCGTTGTTGTTATGGCTATATTTTTTTTTTGTATTTATTAAAGTATTTTAAATGGTACCACGCCGTACGACACTTAAATTAATATTTTTTAACAGGATTGGAAAGTACCAGCTGTACTTTTGCGTTTTGTTATTTTTTGCTTATTTTAAAGTCATTTAAACTCGCACATTTAATCTTTTAAGTAGACATTTAACGATTTAATGACATACATATGTTTGTACATATGGCGCACTTCATTCAAAAGCGTATTTTAATTAAAAATTCCCCGCTTGTCAGAAAATGCAAACAACTATTTCTCAAGACATGTTAGTCATATATTTAGGTAAGGGAGAAAATTACAACAAAATTTTGCTTCCGTTTTTGCTAGAAGGTAAATACATAAACTCGAAGTTAGCGTGTGCACGGACGGACAGACAGTCACCGCTTAATCGATTTCCTTTTTCATTCTGATCATTTATGTATGTATACATTTGTCTATAACTATCTCGATTCGTTTTGGCTGTTACAAACAACCGTTATGTGAACAAAGTTGAGCTCGGGTATAAAAAATAATAATTAACATTAAACCAGCAAAAGAAAAGTAGTCATATATGTATGTATACATATGTATGTCGCACTCCCATTATTTAAACCATAGATAAACTATGTGAATGTAAGGGGTAGTGTAAGCTCCAACCTATCGAAAATGAAGGTTACAACATTAAGCCAAGATTTTTTAATGTTAATTCAAAACTGTGAGTATGCTGCTTTTGTCTTGTCGACTAGGCTCATAACTTTTCCAAGCCTTAAAAAAGTGTATTAAAATTGTTCTGATTTCGCCTTGTTCACGTTGATTTTAATTATTTTTTTTTTTTTTTTTTTTTTTGTAAAGTAACACTCTTAGCATTTTCGTGCATACAAAAAAAAAATGCCTGATATACTTTGGAACAACGTCCGTGAAAAATTGCATAGAAACTCTTATTAAAAGGTTAGCAATTTAGATGAATTTTTTGAGGATTTTCATAATTTTTGAATAAAGTTTTGAACTTGGATTTACAAACAAAAAAAAAAAAAATAGCCAAAATTTGGTAAAAGGTCGGGTTCCTATTTTTTCCACTACATGTGATATTTAAATTTGACCACAGTAACAAAGCTTTTTATTTTTATATTACGGATTTATCATCGTTTTACTATTTGCATCCTTTATTAATCCATTCAGATTAGTAATCCTTTCAGATTGAATTAAAATTTTTATGAAGATTTCTTGTGTTTTTTCTAAATTTTATATAAGATTGGAAACGTCGATTTGTGTATGTGTATGTGTAGTTTTGGTAAAAGCATGAACAATCCCAGCCAGCAAAATCATCGTAAACGAGCTCGTAACTGGATATTTTCTCCAAGAAAAACCGGCTAAAAAGTCGTTTATTATAGCCGTTTACGATTCGTTTTCGGATCGAAAAAGCATTCGTATGCGAATATTATATATTATAAAATATTGTGGTTGAAGAAAAATTTCCAACAGAATGAAAATTTTTTCTTGTGCTGACAAATTACTAAAAGCCTCTCTCTTTTACTTTATTTTTTCTGTTTTATTGTTTACGAGCCTTTCTCTAACTTTTTGGCCGATCGAGAATCCCTCGTAAAACTTAATATTCGTAAAATGTACGATTTCTTGCTGGCTGGGATATTTTTATAAAAAAATAACCACAAAAAATTTAACTTTGTGAATATTTAAAAACAATCAAAAACACATGTTTGAGTCACTGTATGTTCTAGAACCTGTAACCGCTTTTTTTAATTGTGCATTGAACAAATATAAACACATAAGTGAGGTTGTGTTGTTGTTTTGAATTTATCACACTCTTCAATTGAATGTTGAAATTGCTGCTACTACTGCAGTTGCAGTTAAGTTAATATTAGCTATTCAAATTAAAGCACTCGCATGCCACTTTCAAGTAGCAATAAATAGCAGCGCCACTTTAAACTCAACAATTCGTAAATAAGTAAATCGTTAAATGGAAATGGAAAATATTGTTCAAAATCTGCGCAGTTATTTACAACGACCTAAAACGAGAAAGTGATACCTACATAAGTATGTACATATGTATATTTATGTATATAAAAAAAAATTCAAAACAAAACGTCATATCGCGTTAATTGAGTTTCAAATCTGGTCGAAGCCAGTTGCTATTTTCTTGCTTTGTTGAACCTTCAATTATTCAAGTGGTGTGGCGCTTTTTAATTTTTAATATTTAGCATAGTATATGATGGGCTTACACAAACATATACAGTGGTCGAAAGTTCCAAGTTTCTGCAATATTTCAAAAAAAGTCAACAAACTTTCGTAAAAATGTCTAACTTTTTTAATTTGATTTCCTAGAAAGATTCTGAGTATGCAGTTTTGTAGCCCATTGAATTCTACTAGAACAAAGTACACAAGTTTCAAATGGCTAAAAATTACAGTCGATTTTTTAGATTTTTTTTCTATATTTTATTTATAAATTTTTACGAAATTTTGTTAATTTTTTTTTTAATATTGCAGAAACTTTGGAACTCGGATTTACACGGATTTTGTTAAAGAATGAACAATGTTTTTATAAAAAATAGCCAAAATTAAATAACAACAAAAATAATATGTTAAAACTTGTCAAAATCTGGTGCGGCTATAGTTATTTCGACCACTGTACTTACACACTACATACATACATACTACATACATATAAAATCTATTAATTTTTTATTCTCTGTACAGACTCCCTGCTGTAATAAATTCTACAAGTGTCGATTCTGTCACGATGAGAACGAATCACATCACTTCGATCGTAAAACGCTAACCGAATTGATATGTTCCGAATGCAATACACGACAAAAGGTACAGGAGCAATGTGAGGCATGTGGCACGCGATTCGGCAAGGTAAGCATTTAAAGACTCATTTGTGTATTAAGCATAAGCAATTATGTCCCAACAAACTTAAAAAAAATATATGTATATCTCCAACGTTTGAGAAATTTATAGTTCTCAAGTTGATATCCAAAAAAAATAAGGAAAAATCTTATTAAAAAGTTTAATTTTTTTTTCAATTCAAAAAAAAAAAATAACCATCTAAAAGATTTTTTGATCAACTTTTTACAACAAATTTAAATTCCTCGGTTGAAAATCTACAAGAAAATTCCATAGGTAGGTCATTATGTCAACTTTCGAATCCATATTTTTCCATATTTTTGTATTACTCATCATTTTGTAGTTCTCAACTTAACCTGAAATTCAACTTAACCTTAAATATTTATTGGGGTTCATTGATACGCAGATAGTAAGGGAACTCTAAAGCATGTTTGCTTTACATAGGGATTAAGGCAACTAGATTATTATATTCGTCTTCCAATGTTCACATTGTGTGGTTCAACTTCAAAACGGATTGTTTTATGTTGTAGTCCTTTTTTGTTGCTTTCGTAGTATTTTGTTCTTCATCCAGAACTTCCTTTCTCTTTTTCGAAATAAAATACTTTAATACCTCTTTTCCTTAAGTAGAAATGGGTAGAGTTTTAATCGTCTGCCACCGAGGTGGTCAATGCCCGTGCACCATTGCGCCGTGAAATTAGACAACCAAGCTTACTGATGGAGATATCGCCCTGTTAGCCAGTGAGGACAAAACAACAGGCGCTGTTGCGGGGTCTGTATGGACTAAAACAGCTGCATCGCGAAGCGGTCCCACATCTCTACCGTAGCAACCCATCTTTAAGGGGAAACTCAACAATATCCTCTTCCAACAAGGGGCATTACGCAGACCCCCAGTAGTCTAAATTTCGACAAAACCAATTTCGAATCAAAGCTCATTGACAAATACTCGTTATGCAAAAACAGGCCACACAATACCACACACTTCCTTGCTTGCCCCAGACACTCCACCCAAGTAACACTGTAGGTTTGTGGGACTTAGGGAAAAATTATACGAAATAATGGAAATAAAAATACGCTTGAGATGCTGGCCGCTGGGAATAATATCCGAAAAGTTCATCATGTTAGAGAAAATTAACATCACTTCAGGCTCTTTCTTTTTATGAAGCAAAAAACTACTTAGTCTTAAACGGTGTTCACAGGCAATTTTAGATGCGATTAGTTGAATCTAAAGTTAGCTGCTCCCAACTTCTTTGGAAGCGATTAGTTGAAAGGCCGTTCATACCAGGCGATTGTTGATTTCAGTTAAAAGTTGCCTGTAAAATCGCCTCATGGAAACAACGTTTTAGAGTGCATAGAGGAACTTTATTTCCGAGCAAATCACAAAGATAAACAACTGCTCTGGATATCAGTGTACAAAAGCGAACATGGCAAAGAGGTTAGAAAGGCCGGCAAGAGATAATATAATTGTTGTCGAAATATTGTTGCTGTTGTAACAGTAAAAAAATACCAAAGGTTTTTTCGGGAATGCTGCTGGAATGCCAAACCTTGATATGGATCGTTCTGGATACGAAGAGCCGAATGTCATGTGAACGTTGTCGGTTGTTCCGGTAGCTAATCACCCTCATTGCGAGACTGGTGTCGTATGCAATTCGTTTTTCGAGAGTCGAATCGTATCGAAAATTTCACGTCATTGCCTAAAATTTCCACTCGACTAGTGTATTAAAACGGAAAAACTTGGCAGCACTGTATAGTTTTCGACAAATTTCGTCGTTTACTTCTTTCAGCACGACAGTAAACAATGCCAATGTTGTCGAGTCGTACAATTTAGCCTAATTTACGACTTACGCAATGAGGCTGCATATGATTTCAGGAAGAGGTTAAGGAAAGTAAAGAAGGGCATAGAAAGGTTGCGCCAGACGAAATACTTTTTGGTATAACCAAAACAGTTTAAAACTTCTATTCAATCTATCAAGTCTCTAGAATAAGCAAGGTTTTTCTAGCCCCTCTATTAGCAGAGTGAGACCACATACAAGCAATTGCTAAACACAATCATATTTTTGAAATTTCTAAAGCGTGTAGATTTATAAGAAGTGTAATGAGGATGAACAAAGGTCTCCAGCGTTCATACGATTGCAGTGCATGTCTCAAAACGCATGAAACAAGACATGCAAACATGCTATAAGTGAACAGTGAAATTTTAAGAGTTTGTTTTTCAGCTTATATGTATGTACTTGAGCTAAAAGCTTCTAAAATTTATCTGCCTTTTAAACACAAATTTAGTTTACAAAAGAGTTTTTAAGGTGTTGACAGCGCTTCAGGCATTCAGAGCAGAACTCCACGAAAGCCTTTTCATGCAACCACCGCTTTTCAGGCTTTCAGCACTTTATTTAGCTATAAGTTGCCAGAGCGGTGAAGGCCAAAACGGCTAAAATCTTGGGTGCCTAAAACTGCTCTCCTTTGTTCACAACTCTTCAGGCTCGCAATACTTGGAACACTTGAAGCTGAAGGAAGTTAGAATTCAACATCAAGCTTTTCAAGCTTTATGGATTTCGGCACTTACACGACCGTAATACAAAATTTATAGCGGAATAGGGCAATAAAGGCCTCAAAAGCGCTGAATGCCTGAAATGTTTGTTGTAGAAAGCATTGAACGCCTGAAGATCTGGTGCAGTTCTACTCCAATTGTAACTAATTTAAAGTTTTTTTTTCTTCTTCACAGTACACCTGCCTCATTTGCAATTTGTTCGACGACACCGATAAGAAGCAATATCACTGCAATGGCTGTGGCATCTGTCGCATTGGTGGTGCTGAGAATTTCTTTCATTGTGAAGTTTGCGACATGTGCCTGCCCATCAGATTGAAGATCGACGGTCATCGGGTAAATAAATTTAACAATTCAATTACTAAATACAAACATACATACACATCTGTGGACTTTTGGCAAAACAACTTGTTGTAAGTTGAGACGATTTGCTTTAGATTAAAAAATAATAATAAATTTCCATTTGCAAATTTATTTAGTAAGCTTTTTATTAAACTAAATATATCTTGAAACTGCAACTATGATTAGTTGAAAATGGTATAGAACTCAATGAATTAGCGCTTCAAAGAGAAAGATCGCTTTCGAGTTAAGTTGTTTTGGCGCATGTCCAAAGATATATACTTATGTACGTACGGTCGTATGTATGTACATATCATAATCACCCCAGCAAAATGCTCTGCTTGACAATGCAGTTCTTTAAATATTCCGTTAGTTGGCTCTTAGATACATCCTCAAAGCGATATCTTAAGAAATACGAGTTTTTGTGTTACACTCAGAAAAAGGTTTAGTTATAATAACCAAGATTTGGTTATAGTGACCAAGTGGCATAGTTGGATATGGCGAAATAAATATCTAGTTCACGAAAGTCTGCAATTTACTTGAGCCTTCTAGTTGGGACAAATGTATATTTGTTAATAATTACAAAACGACTACCTTGAGTGGACAATATTGTTAGTTGAATAAAATCATTGTTGAGCAAATATAAACAATGCTTTGGTTGATACAAGTTTTCAATTAATTTTATGAACTTGCTGTAGACGTGAATCAGCTAACCGTTTATTATTGGAAAAAAAGTTTCAGTTTGACACAAATAAAAATTTACTCGATGGTTGTTGTGTTTACTTCTTTTATTTGCATATATTAAGCATAAAAAATACAAACATATTTACATAAATAGTTACTAGTGCAAATAATACATATGTATATGGTGGTAAGAATTTACTAAAAAGAAACGATTAAACAGGAATAGTAGTGCGAAAACCCAGGTCAATATCTGCTGGAAGTGCTGGTTTAAGTATACTGCTTTGCTTTTTCCTTGGCTAAATAGATACTTTCTAATTATAATTCACATGAATTATATATCCACTGAGAAACGCCGGTTGGCATCAAACTTTATATTTTTAAATAACCATACCCGCACCGAAACAACTCGAGGCGATGGCAAAACTGAAACTGAGACAAACAAGCCTGGGCATGTCATAGCACACACCTTTCTTTCTCTACCCAGCGCAGTGATCGACATGCCATAGCTTACTGAGCGCTCTGTAACCACACGCGTGTTTCACCCGTATACGAACAGCGGTAGCGGAGCAATGATTTCCACGCACACAGTCTCATTCATTGAATCGTTTTTATGCAATGGACGGCATACTAGCGCATTCAAACGATTCAATAAGTGGGACTGTGTGCATTGCTTAGCTGGCGCTCTTCGTATGTGACACACACATGAGCTCAGAGAGCGCTGATCATTATTTAGGGGGTGCTCATAAGCATGAATATATTCCGCTCTCAAACCAAATCGATCAACTAAGATTTGGTAACTATGACTAATCCATGTGTTGAAAGAAAGCTTATCTGTATTAGCAGAGCTTAATGGCATCCTTTTATGAACCATACTTTAAGTTGAATGGAATTTGTAGAAATATGCTTCAAAAAAATATTTATTAGTATTTACCAAACCCTTCAACTAAATTAACGATTTGGTATAACCTAGATGAATATTAGAAGCTTTAATATATTTAGTTATAATAACCAACCCATGGTAATAGTTCCCAATCCTTGGTCACAGTTCCCAAATATTGTCAAAATTCGGGAACTAAATATCTTTAGTTGTCGAAACTAATCCTTTTTCTCAGTGTATCTTTATATCAGCCCTATACAATTTTATCATGCAGTCAGAGCCAAAATAAGTATACAGCTTGCTCTATTTTCAAGAAAATATGTTTTCATTCGTATTTTATGAAAAAATTAAATTTTCACAGTTTATATAAAAATCCTAAAAATTCAAAAAAAAAATCGTCAAAATTTCAAACTTTTTATTTTATTATTATATTTTTTAAAATATATTTTGGTCATGCATTTTATGGACAAAATGCGCAACACCCTTCACAGCAAAAAATCTGAAAAATTAACGGTAATTTTTAGTGACTTGAAACTTGCACTTTATTGCACTAAAATTGTATGGGCTAAAAAACTGCATACCTGAAAGTTTTCTAAAAATTTTGAATAAATTAAATTGAATTTTTGTGAATGTTATATAAAGTATGAAACTTTTATTTTTTTGGTTTATATTATAGAATGAACTATATTTTCATACAAAATATTAATATAAACGATTGGTTCAAATCGTTTTCGCGCTACAAAAACCAAACGATTTCAAAACATATGAAACAAAATGAAAGCAAAAATTCTGTAGAATTAAAGACATAAAGTTTTTGGGCCCACAAGGATGAATAGGTATTGAAAATGTCCTTATAATTAATTTAATTAGTTTTATTTTATGAAAATTTTTTAACAAGCTCGAGGCCCAGCAATTTAATAAATCGGAAACTTTCGTTCTATTAATATTTTTTTAATTGTCGGTATTTTTTAAGCTAATAAAATTAGAAGGAGACGAAGTTTTAAGTTGTGGTGATGTGTAACATCAAAAATAAGTATTGCAAATTTTCAAGAATATTCAGGGATAAAATTTTAAAATAACATTTTCAATATCTATTCGTGTTTATGCACCAAAAAATGGCATCGTTTTTAAATCTACAGGATTTTCGCTTTTATTTGATACTCACGTTTTTATTTTACATTGCACTGATTTTTTTTAATAATTTTTTGAATTAATAAATAATCTCTTTGAAATTTGGAAATCCTTACAAAAAAAACTCCTGTCGTCTGAGAGAAAAACTAATAAAAAACGCAGTTTTACTATTTTTATGAGCGCTCTGTAAAATCTTAAACTTGTCAAATAGGACATTTTGCTTTGATGGTAACGATATACTACTTGTACATACCTACACACATATATGTACTATATAGAAATTTACATACATACCTGCTATAAATGCATATGACGAATGACGTTCTATTTTCTTTTTATTTCTTTTGTATTCACATTTATCAATTCCATGCAGTGCGTTGAGAATATTTCGCGTTCACATTGTCCGGTATGCCTAGGCGATATACATACATCACGCATACCATGTCACATACCCGATTGCGGTCATTTGCTGCATAAGACTTGCTTCGATCAGTTACTCAACTCTGGACATTATACATGTCCTATTTGTCAGACATCGTTAATTGACATGACAGCGCTGTGGGAGTATTTGGATGCGCAAGCGGTGTCATTGCCGGTGCCAAAGAAGTATGAGAATCAACGAATACATATTTTTTGTAATGACTGTCACAAGGTATGAGTATGAATATGAGTATGGCTAGAATTTAAATAAAAAATTAAATTGTATAAAAAAATGTATTTGATACAAAGTTGTCTCCATTAAGATTGTGAACTTTACCTTATACTTTTTTCTTTTGAATCACTTGCAGACTTCTAAAACCAAATTCAACTTTATCGGCCTTAAATGCATGCAATGCGGTGCCTACAATACAACTCAGGATGTGAAGCGGCGCATGTCGCTGGTGACAGGTTAGCGCTGCCTTTTGCACTTGTTAACTCGAATTTCAAAGCTGTTCTTGTTCTTGTTTTTTTTTTTTTTTGTCTTAATTTCAGATGAACCCTCGTCGGCATGACGGCACACTCTTTATTATACATATTTACATACATTTCTTTGCAAGTAAAATTGTTGTAGGATTTTTTTTTGTTGTTGTTTGGCCGTTAAATAATGGAACTCTTGCCATTTGAGATTGTACACTGCTGGAGCGCCGCCTGTTTACGCTGCACAAAAATGCTAGTATGTGTTTGGTAGCAGCCTCCATGTTAAGTAAATTATGGTTAATATTTTTCCTTTTTCCTCCCTTTAATTTAACAGCAAGGCGTGAAAGTCTTCGAAATACTGAAATGGGTATACTATTTCACATGCCTGATACATAACAAACAACATTTGGGCAATTCGGGTGCTTTAGCAGCTTTACGTTAACTATTGCGATATTTGAATGAATGTGTATGTAAACTACTCGTAAGTTAATTCGAGCTGGTATCGAATACATAAATCGAATTGAATATATCGTGCTGTTAATAGTTTACATTTACATACATAAACATACATAATATATGCATTAGATTTGAAATAACAGTTTTGTGTAGTCAACGAATTTTATTATATATGTATTAGTTTATATTTAAATAAATAACATACAGTTTTGAAAAGTAATTTAGTATATGAAGGTTATAATATTATGAATTAAATTGACTTTTTTCTTTTAATATAAGCAACTTTAGATTGGGCACAAACTGTTGGCAATGTTCAACGCAAGAAGTCTTTGGTATGGATATAGAGTTATAAATTCGATTTATTGTCGCAAACTGAAGAAATAAAAATATTTAATAAATAAACCAAATGATTTCAATAATTGAACGCATTTTATAGATTGTTCTAATTTTAATTGGATTATTGCCTATGTAGACATAAATTGATAATACTCATTAAACGCATTTAACTCGTTAGTCGGAACAGGAGCTTAGCTTTTTAAAAGTTTTTGTATTGTGCAAGAGTAATATATTTTCGACCCTTTACGAGTTATTCGATTTTCGATACTTATAGATTTGCTCGCTGAATAAGACTCCGAAGTCGAAACTCAATAACCGTTCGTTTTTCTCTTCTTAACCTCAAATAATCTACTGTTTTTGCCAAATTTCAACTCAATAAACTGAACTTCTAGGCTGGTTTTCATTTTCAATAGCTAGTGGGCCAAAAGGAAATTTACATAGTCCAAACTTTAAAAACTGTTACTTAAGGTACCGCGAAGTGAGAAGCTGTGTAAGCTTAATGATTTTTTTTTTTTTAGCAGACGTAAATGCATCGGACCAGAAATATGTTTTATATATTAGACGGCAGGTAACAAAGGCGTTGAACTACTTCTTCTAAATTCTAGAACATTAATTTTTTATGCCACCAAATACACGCACTTTCATTTGCAAAAAGTTAAGCCATTAACAATAAATTTGCCCTAAAACGTCATTGTGCGTTAACGGATTTACTGTTAATAACACGAAAATAAATTAAACCAAATTTTTTTATAAATTTAAAGCTTTACATATGTAAATAGTTATACATATACTACATGCGTTTTCTAAATATAAAATAAAATACATACATGCATACTATGTATATATAAAGCAATACATTAACTTACAATCAACTGCATATAAAAATTGTTGCGTTCTTCAAATCGAATGCTAACGAACTTATCAGCTCGGCATAAAATAATAAATACATATCACATTTTCGACAAAACGTTGTGCTTTAGTGTTAATAGTAGTAGTGTCATAAAATACTAAGCTAATGGAAACTCGTTTATCTGTAGTATACGTATAAAACTAGTACCTTCTTAGTACGGTAATACATACACCTTTTCGCATTGTCAAATTTTAAAGCTATTCAGTACATCTATTGATTTCAACTGCCCTGGAGTAAATATTGTATGTATGTATAAAGCCATTACAGCATATTTGTATATAATAATACATATATAGCACATATATAAATATATAATTTTATAATTATGTATAGTTCATTTCTCTCGACTATAATTACAAGGCCCTCTCATATTTATTCTGCTTTTATTAGTATCTCCTTTTCTGCATTGGCAACATTTGCTTCATTCATATCCTTTTGCTGTCGCCGTTTTTCCGCTGCCTTTTTAATTTTTGTCAAATATACTCCCAAGGCCATCATAACAAACCAACCCACATAACCAATATGATATACAGAGCTGTAAAATTTCCATATATTAGTGAATGATGCTAGAAGGAAAGCAATGCCAAGGTAGCTGAATGCAAAAAATTTTGCAATCCAAAAGATAACATCGATTATTTGGCGCTGCAGGCCGACAGTGTCCTTGCGCACTAATTTATTCCATATATCTTCCAGGGAAACGTAAAACGGTGCACCCATAATACAGAAATAGTGACCAGGACGAAAACCATGCCAAAAGGCGGAACATAACAATGTAACGATGGTTCTAAAAAATAGGTGTGAGCAATGAAATACTAGATAAGATTGTAAGATTTTTAAAACACATACATAGAAATTGTGGAAATGGATTTCAGGCAGAATGGGCATAAGAAATATGTATTTTAAAGATATAATGATATGAGATTCCAATTGAATAATTTGTACTGTCTTAACCTATGTACATATATACATAAATCATTAATAGCCAACAAAGTGAATAGCAAAAATTTAAATCATTTCAGCGTTCTTCACCTTGTCAACTTCAAAATTAAACATAAAACCTATACAATAAACACAATAGGTCTCACCTGTACTTCTTGCTTGGGAATAGCTTGTAAACGTTCACCGCCAACCAGTATTGGATACATATATTCCAATGTTTCATACCTTCACGGAATGTCCAGCATGTCTCTACGCTGCGTACTCGTGTATTTACAATTGTTGTGAAATTATAGCTATGTTTTTCAGCATCACGTTTCAAATGTGCATACTGTTTCCGTGGACCTTCACCATTCGCAACATCAGCATCGTCGGGATAAGCGCCAAACCCTGCCATAGTGCAAACGCATTCGCTTAGCGTTAAGCCAGTGTATATGCGCATGCGAAAGACAAAGAATGTCGGCCATACGTACATAAGGCGATAGATAAATGAACGCTCTTTATAGAACTCATCGCTCAAGGCATACTAAATGTCGACAAGAATTAGCAATATTTTGTTGTTAGATAGTTTATTGCTTACCTCAAGCGGCCATATGTAGTTAGCGACCAAATAAAGTGAGCAGTAGAGACCGGCATACTTTAGTTTCTCTATTGTAGCGGCAATATGAGGCGCATAGTCTTTAAATGGCATATCGAAATAATCGAGGTATGTGCGGTAGCGATAATATGGACCTAGATACGATTGATGTAAAAGGGGATATTTACTATATTAACAGCATGGAGTCAATTCTTATTTACTAAGGATGTACCTGTTAAGACGCCAATATAGTTAAAGCAATAATGGAAGATCTCAACAAATCCTATATTTTGTAACTCTACATCGTAATCTGTAATTTCCACCAGCTGTTCGCTTGATGTTGTGCCTTCAGCAGTCTTTCTTTCAGCAATTTCTTTATCACGTTGCCGCAATTTTTTCCAAGCAGCCGTCTTTTCAAAGGCTACACCGGAAACCTAAAAGGTACGCAGATCAATATTAACAGACTATGGAGTATAACTTATGTTTTTAAGAACAAATAATACCTTCAATGTCAGTATCATCTGTACCATATTGGTGTGGCCAGGATAATTTGGCAGACCAAACCAATGTACCAAACGAAAGAATACCAAATAACCGAACATTATGCAAAATGTAATCAAGTGGCCTTGGCTAAATGTTATAGTGTAAAAATTTTAGATCCAGTGGTCAAAGTTTAAGTACAAAGGTTATGCTTACCTTGGGTGCACGTAGATTACAGCCAACGCTCCTACGACCGTAGAAGTAATGCAATGCAAGGCATGGTACCCTGAAGCTATAAAAACCACCAGCAATCCGAGTCCGGTGCTAATAAATTTTCGTTGCGTTTCATCGCTTATTTTTTTGATATAATGTCCCACGCCGATACAGCCAAGTAGGCAGATGACGTAGATCACGTCATCAAGGCTCATAATTTTAATATTTTTATTAAATACGTAGACTAGCACTTCTGAAAACTGCTAAAACAAATAAAAAATCAACAAAGAAATGCAATCGCTGTTATCAGAATGATGCACTTTGTTAGTAACGATATCGATTAATCGACAAGTGTCTTTAATGCTCGCAATCGATTTTTAAAGGTGGTTCAAATATTGATTTGTTAAAGTTTGTGTTTATAATAATCTTTTTAGGGATTTACGGAACACATCAAGATAACCAGCCGTTCAGCAATGGGAAAACTAAAAATGCAGACCGATAGTGCTTTGTACGCTGATTTTAACTATATAAATATTATTTGCCGCAATCAAAAAGTAAAGAAGATATAAAAGGTTAAAGAAAATTTTTGCGATATTTTAAAATATTAATATTTTCTAAACTACGTAACCGATTAAAAAAGTAATAATACCAAAGCAAAGACAATTAACCTATCTTTAAGCTGATATATAAAATGTGTTTGCTTGCTTATCTATTTATGCCAAAAATATTAGAAAACAAATAAAATGTTATAAGTTTTTCATAAAATAACTATTTTTAGAAAAAAGTGCATGATCAATGCTAAAGACATATATATTATTTAGAAAGTGCAAGGTGTGGTAAACCTGGGGCTGCCGCCCCAGTGATGTCTATTATGGTTACTAGGTGTTTTATAAAAATGTCTTGTATATAAAAATGTCTTGTGCAAATGAATATTTAACATTTTTCAAGCGAAAACCCGCAAATGAAAATTGTGAATTTTGGCCATTTTCCTAGGAAACCATAAGGGACCTAGGTTGTCGGGGGTTGCATTTTTGTCAATGGCGGTTCATTCCCTCTCCAAAAAGGTGGGTTAGAGGTGCCACGTCAACTTACCTTTCGGCCACCGCCCCTTTAACGAACGGCCATAATGGAAAGCCAACCCGTTGAATTAACTACAATATGCATTTGCACACACATGCATTTATATTTTTTATTATCACTGAATTCTGAAAACTCAAAAGCAAATCATGATATAATATGTATATCAAATTAAAGGTAAAAACTTGCACTTTCTAAATAATATAAATTTTTTTAGTATTGATTATAGACTTTTTCTAAAAAAAAGGTTATTTTATGAAAAAATCATGACATTTTTTTGTTTTATAATATTTTTGGCTGAAATATATAAAAAAAACATACACATGTTATATATCAGCTTGAAGATAAATTAATTGTCTTTATTTTGATATAATTACCTTTTGAATCGGTTACGCAGTTTAGAAAATATGAATATTTAAAAAAATGAAATTTTTTTTGTTTTACCTTTTATGTCTACTTTACTTTTTAATTGCGGCAAATAATATTTATATAGTTAAAATCAGCGTAAAAAGTACTAGCAATCAGCATTTTTAGTATTTCTATAGCTGAACGGTTGGTTATCTTGATGTATGCCGGATTTACTTATATGGTAAGTTGTTCATTAACAATTTTGGGTACTCTTTAGGAATTTGTACAACGATTTTGGGTTGCTGTGTCCTAATTTAACAATAATGTCGGTTGGAAATATGGTATTTGTTTCAAATTTTTGTTATAAATTTGTATATACATTTTTATATACAAGACATTTTTATAAAACACCTAGTAACCAAAATAGACATCACTGGGGCGGCAGCCCCAGGTTTACCACACCGAAAGGGAATTTTAGTTACCTCATCCTTTCCCAAGGTTACATCACTGGGGTGGTAGCAACGATTTAGGGGTGGGGCGGAGGGGAGGAGGCGTGGCTCCCCAAAGCCCCCTCTAAACGAAAGGATGGACGCCGCTTTATGAAAAGTTTGGGCACAGCAACCCAAAATCGTTTTACAAATTCATAAAGAGTACGAAAAAAACACTTGAAAAGCATGTTCTTATTAAACATTGTGGGAAATCTTTAGCTATTTGTACAACGAAGGAGGATGAACGCCGCTTTATGAAAAGTCACCCCTCACAACTATTACAAATTGAATGAAATTAATATTTTAAGAAAACATCTACCATTATTGATTGCAGTTCATCAACTTAAGCTTTTATTTTACAAAAAATTACACACAGCAGCAATCTTTGCAACTGTCAAAGTTTTCATGGGCTACTGAAATTTTACTCACCTCAAACTTGTCAAAAATTTACTTGCCGCGAACTTTGTTACCGATTCACACACGCTCAAAGTTGGATAAGTATTAACATTTGCGTTGTCCGACTGCCTTGAACGATTGCATTTGAGGACTATAGAGGAAGAGGAAATAATTGTATACCCTTTGTGAAAATGTAGTAAAGAAGTAGGAAAAAAACGTTCATTGCGTATATTATTGAATCATACTAAATACCTAAACATTCGAACTAATTTTAGAGTCGGTTTAGATGTATTTGTGAAAATAATTATGTGTTAATTACACCGACACGATTCCTGGAATGAATGAATCAACTGTCTTTAGTCGAAGGCGAGTCAACACGTACATAAATGACTCGCGAGTCAGACGCACCATGTATCGATGGCAGTTCGAAAACGCTCTATATCAGAAAATTTTTCAAGAAAGCCCTACTTACGAATTTGACGGAAGAACGCCCTATTTCAGAATATTATTGAAAAACACCCTATCTCAGAATTTGGTTGAATAACGCCCTATCTCAAATAAAAATACATTAATGAGATAGGACGTTTTGGAATCGACAGCTGAGATAGGGCGTTCTTCAACCAAATTCTGAGGTAGGGTGCTTTTCAATCAAATTCTGAAATAAGGCGTTGTTGAAAAAAGGGCCATTTGCATATCTTTTTCTGAAATGAGGGCATGGAAGCTAAGATCAAATGAGTGGATATTTTTAAAATTTCCAATCACAAATTTTTCTCAGTTTACTATAACGTGCACTTGACTTGGCAGCACCAAAATAATGGTCACGTGAACAAAAACTGTCAGAAGTGTATATTTGTTTAGCTCTCACACACTACGAAACATATAGCGTGTGAAGAGTGCGACTGCATGTCCACTTGACCCGAATGCTTTGACAACTCACAGCAGAGGGTTGCAAACTAATTTAGTACCTTTTTATTTCGTAGGAAAAATTTGTTACGTTCTTCCGACACTTTTAAATTTTTCACGAAGAATTAATTCGAAAAAAAAACAAATACTTGTAGAGTTTTGTTTGCGATAAGACATGTAATTTTCTGGACTCAACGAGTTTTACGAAGTTTTCCGCGTCTTTAATTTAGTTGCGCTTTTCACTTCTAATCCGCTTTGCTACTTTTTTTTACGCTACCATACAACACCCTTGCGAAAAACCGACAGCGACAGCAGTAGATTTCGTTTCAAGTTCATCCGTTACTCGTTCATTCATTTCAGAAATTTGGTTGCGTCGGACGTGTGTTTACTCTCGTTGGTGTACGAATTAGAAAGTTTAACTTCTGTGCATTTTCGTGGAAAACTGCATTCGTTTAATTAGATACGCACGGAAATAAACCGCCACGATGGGAAGTAAGTAAATGCGCCCAAAATAAGAGGAAAATATTACAGAATGTGCCGTGAAAATGTGAAATCTAATGCTGAAGTTGTGATGGTGCGGGGCTGTCGTTTTTTCGGTAGCTTTCACTCGGCGACGGTAGAGTGAAAGGAATAAATATTGCTATACAATTGCTTACGTATACAAATTGGAGTATTGTGGAACAATTTCGGGAAACGAATTTTATGGAGCTCTAATATCTATAGAAAATAATTAAAATGATAAACCAAATATTAAGTAGAATTATTTGCTAAATATATATTATTATTCTTTTGATTTGCAGTAAAATTCCTCGAAGTTATCAAGCCATTCTGCAGCATACTCCCGGAAATTGCAAAGCCGGAACGAAAGGTAAGTTGTCACAGAAATACGTATGTATTTTATTGGCGAATTAATTCTTTAAATTATAATATCATCAATGAAAATGAGCAGAAAGTTGTCAGTACGCTGGAATAATTTAATAATAGCTTGAAGCTCACTCTATTAAAATAGGCCACGCAAGCATTCATACAATATTTATCAAGATAACGAGGTTCATTGCCAAACCTTGTAATAGGTCTAATAAGTTTTCTAGTTCATCTTTTTGCAAATCAGTTCATTGAATTTACTTACCAATATTTTCTAATTAGCATGCAATTAGGTCGAGTTCTTTGTTTTGGAAAATCGTATATTTCTACAATTTGCTTTTGTATCAACGAAGAAGTGTTTCCTTGCTACAAGTGTCAGAATTTGACAGTTTGTGCGCGACGTGTAGCAGCAGATTTGTTTGGCATTCGGCTATGCCGAATTCACGTCACTGTTTTAACTTCGGCAACGATTTCTCCAGTGAATTTCATATTTGCCGACGTATTACAAATGAAACAAATACAAAAAAGTTTAATCAAACTTCATTATGATTACGTATGAGGGAGATTATCTTTAGCAGCTTGTCATTGCATACGTATATATATAAATACATACATACATATATATGTATTATGGGTTATGCGAATATTTGGGTTAATATTAATAGGTTAATATTAATCTTTACTTGTTTTGAACTAGTTCTTGAACTTCTTATATTTAAAAACATTGGAATTTATGAATCACATATGTTAATATTAAAATATTAAAATAAGTGTTCATGGTTTTATTAATATGCACTGTACTTTTTTCCCCATATATTGCAGATTCAATTCAGGGAGAAGGTGCTATGGACTGCTATAACACTATTCATCTTCTTGGTTTGCTGCCAAATCCCGCTTTTCGGCATCATGAGCTCAGACTCAGCTGATCCGTTCTACTGGATTCGTGTGATTTTAGCTTCGAACCGTGGTACACTTATGGAACTTGGTATTTCTCCAATTGTGACGTCCGGTCTGATTATGCAGCTGCTGGCGGGTGCCAAAATCATTGAGGTCGGCGATACACCTAAAGATCGTGCGCTATTTAACGGTGCACAAAAATTATTCGGCATGGTTATAACAATTGGTCAAGCCATCGTGTACGTCATGACAGGCATGTATGGTGATCCTTCGGAAATTGGCGCCGGTGTGTGTTTGCTAATTATCATTCAACTGTTTGCTGCTGGTTTGATAGTGCTGCTGCTTGATGAGTTGCTGCAGAAAGGTTATGGCTTAGGCTCTGGTATTTCGCTTTTCATTGCCACCAACATTTGTGAGACTATTGTGTGGAAAGCATTCTCACCCACAACTGTCACTACCGGCAGAGGTACAGAATTTGAAGGCGCCGTAATTGCACTATTCCACTTGATGGCCACACGCAACGACAAAGTACGTGCGCTACGTGAAGCATTCTACCGCCAAAATTTGCCAAATTTGATGAACTTGTTGGCCACAGTGCTGGTATTTGCCGTGGTCATATACTTCCAAGGTTTCCGTGTGGATTTGCCCATCAAATCAGCTCGTTACCGTGGCCAATACAGCAGTTATCCCATCAAGCTCTTCTACACTTCAAACATTCCCATCATTTTACAATCGGCTTTGGTTTCTAACTTGTATGTCATCTCACAAATGTTGGCTGTCAAGTTCCAGGGCAATGTCTTTATCAATTTGCTTGGTGTCTGGGCTGATGTTGGTGGTGGCGGCCCTGCACGCTCCTACCCAATTGGAGGTCTGTGCTATTACCTGTCGCCACCAGAGAGTGTAGGGCACATTCTAACCGATCCGATACATGCAATACTGTACATTGTCTTCATGTTGGGTTCATGTGCCTTCTTCTCAAAAACGTGGATCGATGTGTCTGGCAGCTCAGCCAAAGATGTAAGTCGATAAAACTTTTATCGGAAAATACATTTTATTAATATGCACTTTTTTTGTATTTCCATAGGTTGCTAAACAACTGAAGGAACAGCACATGGTTATGCGTGGCCATCGTGAAAACTCTATGATCCACGAATTGAACCGATACATCCCAACGGCGGCTGCGTTTGGTGGTCTCTGCATTGGCGCGTTATCTGTTATGGCTGACTTTTTGGGTGCCATTGGTTCAGGTACCGGTATTCTGCTGGCTGTAACCATCATCTATCAGTACTTCGAAATCTTCGTTAAGGAGCAATCGGAGATGGGTGGCATGGGCACTTTACTGTTTTAAGTTGGGGGTGCGCTGTACATTATTCTAATTAATGTTGTTTATAAGATGTGACTCACTCGAAGCACACAAGCTTTGAGCCCAACGACTACCGCTACACATGTACTGTTACTTGGTCCATACATTTGATGTAATTGTATGTATGGATAGTTGAAACACAAAAATTCAACATATTTTCATGTCCCCGACTCGTTCCACAAATCGCGCACTACAATCATTTTCCACATACAAAAGAGTTTGCTCTTACATCATTATGCTTTTTTTATATAAAAAATTTCGTCCAATTTTATGGTCGTCGGTAGATGTTTCTTATAATTTTATAAGATTGATTATTGTTTTATATTTGCGAAATTGTAACGAATTGAGTTCACTGCTGTGGGATGGCGGAGACATGAAGTAATAAAACCATCAAGCTATGAAAATTGGTTTCCGCCCCCCTCCCCCTCACAATGTGCAAAAACAGTAACATGCAACTTCATACAAACGAAAAATAGACTTTTCTTGTGTTAAATGTTAATATTATTTCGATTGTTATATTAATTGTAAACCCGATAACGCACCAGCTTAAATGTTTATCCCCTTCAACTAATCGTGTGGTAGTGGTTGTCAAGTTCCGTATGAGCTGTTAGGGCGAACAATTAATGTAATAATATATGCAATAATATTAAGGTTTACATAATAGTTAATTTATACAGAAGATAATGAAGTTATAATAAAAGAGCTAGACATTTAATATTAAGTTGTAATAAAATGAAGGAAAATAAGTTTTAAAATTTAATAAAAAATCGTAAAATCTTAAAGAATGAGTTTTAAATGGTCACATTTGGAAAAGAAGACTGGGGATAGCTGGAGTTTTATACCGACCAAGGTCTGTTTCGCTCAATCACTGAAAACGACTGACAGAAATTTAACCAATCTAGAGACTCGCGCAACCAATAGTGCAGTCGGCTAAACTCCAAGATAGCCAAATTGGAGCGCATCATATCCCAATAAACATAAGTCCGGCTTGCGAGGGCTTCTCATAGGACATCACTTGAGCTCACTAAACATCCTGAGCTCCACTGAAACGATTATTTCACTTATTTAGGTAGCGTTTCACCCGAGCGCACTTGTGCACAAGGGTATATTAATTTTGTTCACATAACGGTTGTTTGTAACAGCCAAAACGAATCGAGATAGATATAGACAAATGTATACATAAATGCTCAGAATGCATAGAGAAATCGATTAAGCCATGTCTGTCTGTCCGTCCGTGTACACGATAACTCGAGCAAAAATTGAGATATCTCAACGAAATTTGGTATGTAGGTTTCCGTTAATCCAAGGTAGGTTGGTATTGAAAATGGGCGAAATCGGCCTGTAACCACGCCCACTTCCCATATAACGGTAATTTCCAGAAATACGAAAACTGCGATATTTTAGTAACTACTGAAGATAATTCACTAAAAATTGATATTTACAATAATTTTCAGACGAAAAATAAGAATATTATAAATTTTTGGAAAATGGGCGTAGCCACGCCTACTTATGGTTACATGTGTATATCTTGGTACCCGCTGCACCAATTTCTTCCAAACAGTTGTTGGCATTGGTACAACATACCAAACGGCCGAAAATTTCAAAAATCGCGCAATAACCACGCCCACATCCCATATAACGGTTATTTAGAGAAATACAGAATCTTCGATAAATCAGTAAATATTAAAGCTAATTTATTCAAAATTGATGCTTGCAACAATTCTTTACCAAGAAATATGTTTATGGTAAAATTTTGGAAAATGGGCGTGGTACCGCCCACTTATGATCACATATATGTATATCGGTAACCGCACACCACATAAAAGAAAAACGTTGAAAATTATTGAAATCGGACTAAAATTACGGCCGCTTTTCATATAACGGTAAATTTCAGAAATGCTTGAAACTGCAATATTTCGAAATTTAAGGACGCTAATTTACTCAAAATTGATACACCCCGGCTTACCATCTAGCGGTAGGTTTCGGAAAGGTGAAAAAAATATATATTTAATACTTGCGCCGGGTATTTAATGTTCGACTCCGCCCGAACTTAGACTTTCTTACTTGTTTGTATTAGCATTAGTAAAGTTCGAACCGAGTACTCATAAACTGCACAGTAAAAATTTCTTATCGTTACTAGAATTACGAATCTGGCAACCCTTTGGCTATTTTGCATTTGCTTTTGTTGAGGAATCACATACAATTCTTATTTTGGGGAGCAACAATTTCGTTACAAATTCCAATTCAATGTGTTGAAAAAGTTTAATTTGGAAGCATAAAAGTGGTATTCGACCGTAAACAAACATGTCGGCGTATCACCGCAATATACAATACCTAAAACAGCAATTTTCAGCGTTGCTACACAATACGTCGCCTGTTATTACGCTTATCTGTGTTGTCACTGGCTTTGGATACCTGCTATCGTACTCGGAAACTGCTGTGCGGATTTTGAGTGTGACTCCTGGCAAGATACTTCCTAATGCCGAGTTCTGGATATGGACGGCGTTTACATTTTGCTTCATTGAGCTACATTGGTGGGAAGTGCTGGTCGATGTCATCACTGTAGGACTATGTGGCAAGATGCTGGAGCCACTATGGGGACAGATGGAAATGTTCAAATTTTTTGCCTTGACCAATTTCGGCGTTTGCATATTAACCACAATATACTATTTATTTTATTTTGTTGTAACCGATAATCCAAGTATACTCTTTGACGTGCACATCCATGGATTGGCAGGCTATGTAGCAGGAATATGCGTGGCAGTGCGACAAATAATGCCTGATCATTTAATTTTCAAAACGCGCTGGGGAAAATTAACTAATAGGTGAGCGTTTAAAAAGTAGTTTTGCCTGCGTATCGAACTATTATCAAACGTTTTTTTTTTTTGTAGAAATGTGCCCTTGACTGTGTTTGTGATGTCAATTATTACGTGGGCTATACACCTATTGGATGGCACCTATCCGGCAATGTTTGGTTCGGGGCTCATTGTTGCCTGGATCTACTTGCGGTTCTATCAATGGCATCCAAACGGGCGTGGCGATAGTTCCGAAAGCTTTACATTTGCCAGCTTCTTTCCAAATGTGATGCAACCAGTGATAAGTATTTTGGTAAATCCCATCTATAAATGCTGTTTGGCATTGGGTGTGGTCAAGACACCAGCGCCGCCGCGTTTAGCATCTCTAAGCGGTAGTTTGTCTTCAGTGTCTATACAAATTCCGGGTGCCGATGCACATGACATCGAACGACGCAGGTATGCGATGGGACTATTTTTCCAAATAATTAAACAAGCAAACAAATTTTTCTGTAGGCAAATTGCTTTAAAGGCATTAAGTGAGCGATTAAAGTCCACGGATAATGCGCGTCACAATCAATTGCCGAAATCGTTTCCTACCGTTAACAGCGGTGGAGCGCCAATGGCAGGTCATCATCAGCATCAACATCATCATCATAAACACCAGCATCACCACAATCAACATCACCACGGTCATGAGCACAGTCATCCGCATGGGCATGGACACACACAAGAGCATGTCAGTCCAGAAGCACTAATGAATCCAACGTTTCTGAGACAATCTCAGCATGTTGGTGCTAATATGTCGGCACCTATAACCACAGCGCGTGCTGAGCCACGTATGATTAGTACAATGAGTACGATAGCGATACCCATGCCAGCACCACCACCTAGAAGTGGTACAAGTACCGGCGTACCAACAGCATTTAATGATGCGCTAATCGATTTGAGTGGCGAATCGCAACAGTAGGTGTGTAAACGGATAGGCATTACAACGTAATTTGATATTTTTATTTAACACGGATAAATATATATTTACATAAATGTGTATATGGAAAAGACGCACCACAAATTGAATGCACACTTAAGATGCGTAGGTACATTCATAAAGTTGGTAAATGTGGATGATGTTAAGAAATGGTCGGTTCTACATTTCGAGACGAAAAGCGAATTTCTAATTATGCGTTTAAAAGTTAGTTTAGGTTGCCTTTTCGATTTTGTAAGAACTTTAATGGTATAAAAGGGATTATCCGTGATGTGTAATATATATATATATATTTTTTTTTTTAATTTTGAATGAAGCAGAACTTTTGTAAAACAAAACGAAAATCCATAACTTCTATCCATAATTTCTGTACAATTTTTTAAAGATAATTCTGAAAAACAAATTCTTCACATCGCAGCATTATTTCCATTATTTTACCGATTTGCCTCCGAAATTTCGTAAAAGAGTCGAGGTGTGCACAGTTAGTTTCATTTTAGAAAATTCGGCAAAAAATCGGAAGAGATCTTTACGAATTCTTTATGATTTTTCTACTATTCAGAATACTCTGAAAACATGGTTTGTAGAATGTAAGGTTATACGCTTGATGCTCTTTATTTCAAATAGTTCTTTTTTTAATGCATCTTTAAAGTAAATTTGACGGTATTTGTACGGTGTTTTCCTTTCTATTATATTCTTTGTGTGCTAAAATCAAAATTACCCTAGGAAACGCGCAAGAAAATTTCAGCGACCTATAAAGAAACCAACTACATATTATCGTCGCCTGGGTAAAAGATTGTCGTATGTTAATTTCAGCAGGTTGTGGGAAATCGCGTTTGAAGTTTGGAATGCAATTTCTCAAAAACGCGAAGATAGATTTACTCCAAAGTCTCTGAAAATGTTACTAGTTCACAAAATTCTTAAATTTTATTAATTTTTAATGTTTATTGTTAATTAGTTTTGAGTTTATGAGGGATTTTCTTTCGTAAGCGTCATTTATCCACAATTTGGCCGCCACTCTGTAAATCTCTCTGAAATACGACAAAATGTGATGGTGTTGTTGTTGTAGCAGCATACAAATTCCCCAAAGACTTTTTGGGGAGTGTTGCTGGAGTGACAGTCCTTGGCCAGATATAAATCTGGGTCGTTCCGGTTACGTAGACCCGACTGTCGTAAGAATATGAGCGTACAAAATGTGATCAAAATCTCTACTAAATTAACGGCAATTTTTACTCAATATCTCGGAAGCTAAAGGAGACATCCAAAAATGGAGAACGCCATTTTTTAGATATTGATTAGGATATTTTTATTGCAAATGGAAATTTTGCAAAATGTTACCTGTTAGAATATTTCTCATAAACGATAATTATGCACTATGTATTTCAAGTTGATGAATTGTAAAAATAAAAATTGACAAACATGAGGACATTTTCCACACACCTGCTTCCATACAACGCATTTCCGATGAGCACACAATAAGACATATTTTAATAAGTATATATTCCAATTTTAATTGTATTGTATATACGAGTACATAGTTTCAGGAGACAACCGGTGCATTATTAAAAATTAAAAAAAATCTAAAGTTCTATTAACGGACACTTAAAAGTTATTACTGAAATTTATTGAGTCTTTGAAGCATGTTTTACTTCAAAATTATTTATTTATTTTAAGTCGCTTAATACAAAATACGCGATTAGTGAGGTGAGACGTAGGTAGTGAAGTGCTTGCGGTATTTCATGTTTATTTTTTATATATGTTTTTTTTTGCTATTTTTCAGATAGCTATGTTTATAAATACCAAAAAGTGTTTACTATACTAAGGGGCGTTTTCTCAAGTACGTTTTATAATTGATTTGACCTTTAAACACAAGTTTTGCTCTCAAAAAATGTGAATGCAGGGCAGAAAAATTCGAACTTCTACTTGAGAAAACGGCACTAAAATTGCAATTTATAATTCTTACGTTACAAACTAGTCCATGTACCACCGCCAGCTGCTGCTCCATACAAGAATTAAAATAAATCCTAGTCGCATTTTTAATTCCACGTTTATCGATAGTACTGATTCGCCTGCCATGGATTTTGCGTTGTTGTTTGTGATGTTGATGCAATATTGCCACTACCACCCCCACTTTGCTCCATCACATCGCTGCTGCCGAATGAATTTAGTACACTGCTATAGTAAGACGCATCAGCCACACTTTCGGGTGGTTGATGGTGCGACTGTGTTATAGGCGTTTTCTTAAGCGTTTGATGTAACGCTACTTTGCCTTGATGACAATTTTGTTCGTTAGCCGTATTAATACGGGCAATATTGGCCTGTGTCAAAGAGGAATGCGACGAATGAGTTGAACCTTGGGTGGATGTTGAGCTGACAGAGCCTGGTGGTGGTATATTACCAATGGTTGTGGCACGTCGTTGTGTTAATAAAGCAGAAGGCGCTTGTATGGTTGTTGCAGTGGTGGACGACTCCGAAAGCTTACGTGTGGAAAATATATGTGTGATAAATTTTTTAATTAAGGTAATACTGAAAAGGTAGTATGTTAACAGTGCTCACTTTTCGTTGTACATTGCCGCTGACACTCTTGAATACAGCTTCCATATTTACATCAGACGACTTCAGTTCATTTCCGCCGCTGCCGCCTCCTCCTCCACTTAAAGCACTAGCAGATATTGGTGGTTGTTGTGACAACACCGGTGGCTGCGTAATATGTCTATGATTAATGTGCGCTTGCAGATCGCGTTGCGATAAATATGTACGCCGGCAACCGGTATTGCCATAACGGCTACCGCCATGCGTGCACATGAAAACTGTGCCCAAACCAGATTGCTCTACCCTTAACACTTTATCACTGCAACGCGGACAAGTTTTAATGGGTTCCGAGCGTGCACATTTCAAGCAAAATACATGTTTGCATGGTATCATGCGACCATACAATAAAATAGGTTTGTCACATTGATCACAGCAATGTATCATGGGATTCAGTACTTTTTCGCCAATCAAATTTACTTTGTGGTCCCATTTGAGGCGTAACATGGGCTCAGGTGGACCGCGTGATATGGTTGTGAATGTAGGCGCTTCTAGTTGTGAGATATCGGCTTCCATGTCAACTAGAAATGGTTAGAAGAATTATTAAACAAATTAGATGTGTGAATATTTCCACTCACTTGTTTGCGGTAAAACAGTTGTTGGCTGTGCTGGCTCTTCAACTGTCGTTGTTGCATTAGTTAGCGGTCCTGCCGCCGGCGCTAGTACTACAGAAGTTGGCACATCATCACCTGCGCCTTGGGAGGGCTGAGATTGCGTTTCAACTTCATTTTCCTTACCCGGATCTAGCATTGTTACATCTTCACCAACATCTGGTGGTTGATTTGAACTTTCTGTATCCTCGAGTACAATGTTGGCAACTGCAATGCCTCCAACACCATCGAGTGGCTTTGAAATTACAAGGTGTGTGAAATGATATTGCCAAAAGATTTTTAATCATATTTGCATACCTCCTTCTTCTTGCCTCTGCCACGCCCTCGACCGCGGCCACGTCCGCGCGCTCTAGCACCACCCATTGCAATTTAATTTTATCTTCAAACACTTGAATAAAATTCACGAAAATTAAAAAATAATTCGCAGCCACAAATAAATGCACGTCTTTTTTTCTTTAACTTTTTTATTTTGGCATTCGCAACGGCGTTGCCAGTCTAATAGCTTTTAATTAACCGGTTAGTTAGTAAAACCGGGTATCCAGCACTGCAGTTTTCGGTACGAAAGCGTGTTGCCACATGTAGCCATTCCAAGGTTTTAAAACGAAATACTGGTTTGAGCAAAAAATCAACTTTTATATAAAAATTGATAACCATGCCGTGGTAACCATACCTCAAATAGGTTTACATATGAGCCGTTAATTTTGAAAGTGGTAGAGGTCTTTTCATACCTCTTGGCTTAAATGATTGGTTACTTCTAACTGAATGCCACTCTCCAAGTTTTCTAGTTTATTAATTTTAAAATCAGATCAGTTAATCTTTCAATCGCCGTCAAGCTCAACTAATGCTAGATGATGGAAACTTGCTGTTTCGTCGGGGTCGGACACTAGGGAAATGGGTTTTTTGTTTAGTTGGTTTAAGGCGTATGTGAAGTGGTGGTTTCTTTCATGCGGAATACAATATGCGTACTAGGTGCGTCCGGGTCGAGTAGGAACTCCGAAGCTGTACAGAATGTCGTGAGTTTAGTTTCATCCACTGCTTCATTGTTCTGCTATTGTCTACTTAAGCCAGCCTAGAATTTTTCAAAAGTGGTTGTTGTAACAGCATACAACATCCCCAGAGCTTTTGAAGAGTGACGCTGGAGTGACTGTCCTTAACCAGATATATGTACATAAATCTGGAACGGTCTGGTTGCGTAGGTTCGACTGTCCCGGGAACGTTTCTAGTGTTGTTGTTGTAACAGCATATACGTGCCTATTACGGATTACGGCGAAGGATTAGATTCGTGCGAATGGTATCTGTCGAACCGGAATAGGTCTGCTTCCGAGGGATGACATTCTCATGAATCTAATCCTTCTCACTCGCTTGCTATGACAGTGCGAATCGGATTAGATCCGTGCGGATGGATCCGTCCGATACCGCAATAGGCATGATAAATTCCCGATAAAGTTTTTGGGGATTTATGCTGGAGTTACAGTCCTTAGTCGGTCCGGTTACGTAAACCCGACTGTTATGGGAACGTTTCAAACGTTGTCGTCATGCTCAATTAGCGGTAGGCCCATCAAAGGTTACGATAGGGTCAAACCAAAGGAAGAGGGGTGTTGTGTAAGACAGTTCACTGCATTATACTAGTCCCGAGCGGTGATTACCAACGACGACAACGACGAGGAGACAAACCGATCTAAGTATCAAAAACAACGGCCAAATTACTGTTACACTACTCTGTTTAGGGCGTCATGTGCGGAATGCCTTAGCAGAGGAGCATTGCAAGAGCCAAAGATAAAATTCCATTCTTTGAATTTATATTTGCCATTAACAAGTGCAAGACAAATATAAAGTGGTATTTGCTAATGCGATTGTACACCTGTATGTATTTCATAATATAACCATAAAGCACAATAGTAGTTGTTGTAGCAAGCTCCCCAATAACTTGATATGTTTGGAAGAGTGCTACATTGCAGGGGCTCGTCGGGTTTTCACCCCGGGTAATATAGAGCTGATTTTAGTTAGAGCACGTAGTCATTAGTCATACAAGAACTAAGCATAAATCTTAATTTAATGATATTTTCACATAATTAATTTTTATTGCATAATATTGTATATATCTGTATATGTACATGAATATTTATATGGATTGCACTTAAATTTGTTTATGCGTAATTTCTAACATCAAAATATATATGGGAACATCAAAATATATATGGGAAAAAATAAGTGAACTTCCACAAACACACAAATATAACTGTACTTATATTAGTTAATGTGGCACATAAATCGATTGCCGATATTAATACAAACGTACATGTGCACTAATATTTAAAACAAACAAATATTAAGAAAAATCCAATCCGCAGTAATACAATATTTTTTTTTAACAATCTAAGCGCATTAATAAGTAGTAAAAACAATGTACCGTTAAGTAGAATATTCAGGTTTTGCCTTGCAAATTCATAAAATACTTCAAAAAGTCAAATAACAGCTTTTCTTGATTTCATCTGAAAGTCTAATTTGGAAATACACGCACGCCACAAATCTACTTAAATAGATGCTGCAGAGCCCAGTAAATTTCTCTCTGCATTATTAATTTTTAACGTTTTTACTGTGGGTACTATTAGAAACCATAACAGAGCTAGTAAAATCTAAAATCTACTGCATTTACGACTCTACACAGCTACATACATATCATCAGTCAACAAGTTATATTCAGCGTATTTCATCAAAACGTGTCACAGGTGTCCATGGTAGGGATCGCGATTGCTGCGCAAGTACACTGGACTTGTGAAAGATTTGCCAGCAACAAGTGGTGCCAAATTCTCACCAGCGTAGCTGACGAATGGTGAAATTTCACATTCATCACCATGCACAATGCCGCCCGCAGCTTCGATATACCGTTTGTGCAGACGTGCTAAATCAGCACGCGCTGTCGACGGACAATCCTTGCCTGCGCTGTCAGCATTCTTCAGCGCGCTAAACTCACTGGCACGTGGCACTTCCATAGCCACGAATTTCTGTGCAAACTCAAACACATCAAATACGAACTTTTCAATTTTAATGCCATTTGGCTTTTCAGGCGTTATACGCTTTCCTGAATTGTCAACGAAGGGAATCTTCTTCTTGGCAACATGCAACTTCAATTCCTTTTCGTATGTTTCACCAATTTTGTATAGAAAGGCAGCGCTGAAAAAGTGATTGCAAATATTGCCAGCACTGAAGGTTAACCGCCCATCGGGATTGCGCATCTCGGCGGTTTTCGCGGATATTTCGCTATACTCCACCACTTGGTACTTGCCATCCACAATAGCTACAACACCGACTGCTTCATTCGGTGCTGATTTCTCAACCACCTTGGCTGCACAATCGGCATTCTCTTGTACGCAGTAGCCGATAAAAGCCGGATCGGCGACCTTTATCAATATATTATCCACGCTGTGCGCATGCAAATACAATACGCCGCGTTTCTTAATGTCATCTAAAATGCCCTGTTGCTTCAATGCCCGATATAGTCCTCCATTACCATCTGGCGCGCGTGCTACACGATGCTTTTCGTCCAATATAATGCGTCCATCATAATCGAAGCATGGCAATGAACCCTGTTCGAAGAGTATGATGTTCTCCTTCTTCAAACCAAAATAATTGTTGGCCATAAAGTACTCGTATGTCGGTTGAATGGTGTGTTCCGAAGTCATGATGTACCATGTAATAACACCACGACGTCCTGTAGCAGCATAAGCTAATTCCTCAAGTTTTTGTATGCGTTCGGCTTGTAAGCGAAATAGTGATTTTTTCGATGGCAAACCCACGTCGTACATGCCTTTGGGATGAGCGAAACCCAAACGGGTGCCTAAATGAGGGGGAGGGTGGGGAGGCGAGAAGAGAAGAGAAAAGAAATGATTAATATAAACGAAGTGCATTAATATAAAGTGATTTCAGAGTGAGATAAAGCTGTGTTAAGATTTATGAGTTAGATAAAAATGAGTTATGGATGAGCAACGTTTTTATAATATTTTTAAAAGATATTTCTTAATATTTAACACTTTATATCGCACGTTTAGTAATATAAAGAATTATTTAAAAATTTCAATTCTGTGGGAAAACTTAATTCAAGTTTGATCAATTCATATAGTTGGTATACCAAAAGACAGATTCTCCATCTGTCTTCGACATTTTTGGGAAATTTAGTTATCTCTTAGACTGTACATATATACATACATATGTATGTATTCTCCTTATCAAGATTTTTAATTGGAAGATGAAATCTCGAAAATTTATAATATTGAGTTACTTCCCTATATTACTAAGCGGGCGATATATAGGTGCAAAGCGTATGTACATATGTATGTACGATAGTGTGTCGTCATATAAAAAAAAAAAGTATAAATATTAGTATCTTTTAAATTTTTGTAAAAATTAATATAATCTTTTACTTTTTTTATTATTAAATGCTAGATTCAGGCTAAGTAGGTGCTGGGCGACCTTTAAAACTTGTTTCTTCATTGGTTTAGCAGTCGAGTTTGGGCGCAGGTTGACGTAAATGCTAAATAGCAATCTGAGAAAGAAATATACGTGTTTGTATCTATTTCAAATATGTGTGCATCCATATTCATGTTTTTTTTTTTATAATTTAAAAATTTAAATTGATTTGTAAAGGGACCTGCTTTGAGGAGCTCACAGAGAAAGATTAGAATTCACCTTTTCGTCAAGTTATTACAAAATTATTAGAATGAATGAATAAAGCGTGTAATGGCAATCATTTTTTATGTCCAGGGACATAAATATGTCCCAGAAGATAATTTAGGTAGGCCTTCTTAAGTGAAGCCATCGTAAGAGGCCTACCCTAGAAGGGCTGAAAAAGTACTTCCTCGCATGCCTTCTAGAAGGGCTTATCCATTTACAATTTACGCGAATGCATACATTTTTATTATTTAACATTACAAATGAATTCCAATAAAAATGCTAAGTTACAATAATACATAAAATAATAAATACTTCAAAGATGTATGATTTTTAACCGACTTCCAAAAACGTCAACCGATTTCAATAATTTTTGCAACGGAAAGGTAGTGTCTCAGAGGTGGTCCCATACTAATTTGGTTTAGATCCGATCATTGGATCATGAAATATATAGATATATATATATATTTTTTTTTTAAGTCGGATTTTTTTTTGCTAAAAATTACTTGTTATAAATTAAAGAAGCAACTTTAAAGAACTCCTCCAAAAGGCCTTCTGAAGTACGTCCTATATTAGCCCTTCTGGAAGGCCTTCTATGGGTAGCGGAAGAGGAAGCTTTTCAATTTGTGCCCCTCCATACAAAAAAGAAAGGAGAAAGGAACGTAGAGTGGAAGGCCTCTTCGCCTTTCGGAGGGCTTTTAACTCCTGAAATTATCTACTGGGGTATATACAAACTCATATGCAAATGCACTAAAGACAAGTATAAAACGGCGAGGTCAGCGAGATGAGTTCTTTGAGTTAGTATTATGTATTTTTAGCATGTATATTAGGGCGGGTCAATTTGTATGGCAGATTTTTTCGACTACGCGCGTATAGCACAGAAGGATTTTACGTGTAATTCTAAGCAAATTTGGCAAAGAAACCATGGGTCTAATATCAATTCGGAGTTTACCAAACTGCAAATTAAAGTAAATCAATGATATTTAGACTGTTTAGAAATCACATTTTTGCTAAGTGTTTTGTCGAATTCGTCACACAAACCCACATTTTTAAGCTGACTTTGAACGGCAGAATAGTTTTTTTAGAAGCGTTTTCACGGCAGAAGTACTCTCGAAGGGCTATACAAGGGATCGAATCACTAGAGCATTGATTGAAATGTTTACACTTAATTGCAACCAACTATAAATTGAACAAAAATTCATGTTGTACTTTTTATCATAGAATTGATTCAAGTTAACAGGTCGGCAGCAAGAAAACATGTAAAAAAAGATCATAACTTTATCGCTGCATCTGTATGTACATAAGTATACAAAACAATATAACAAGGTGTCTAAACACTTTGTGGTTCCCACTTTTGAAATTGTGGCAATTTTATGTCGTCTAAGTATGGTCTAGATCAGAGGTTCCCAAACTTTTTTTTTCTCGTAGACCCCTTTCAAAAATTTAGGGGTTTCCCAAAGCTCGTAAAAAAATTAAATGTGAAAACTAGATCTAACAATGTAAATTTTCATCGCGGGTGAATTCAAAAACTAAACTTAGAGTGGCCAAAATAAAAATAAAATATTTTCTTGTGTTCTGTTTATAAAAATAATGTGATGATTACACACTTGTAGGTTTTAAAAAATAGAGCTCGTAAATACATCAAAATACTCTCTCGCTCGGAAGAGTTATATTTTTTAAGAGCAGTGAGAGCGCTAGCGTTATTTACATTATCTTCACCATAAACTCATCAAATGTTCGGCTCACTCATGACTTTGCACGTGGAGTATATGTAAAATAGTTTATTTGTGTTAATGGCATCATTTTTATTTTTATCGCTCCGAGTTTTAAAGTGAGGCGACAAATATTTATCACATTTTTAAAACACAAAACTTAACACATCAAAACAGCTAAGCTTTTTACGCCAAACTTTTAATTCAGAAACTGACAATAGAGAAAAGAACGAGTTAAAAAAAATCGATGACAAATAACCAAGCAAGCAAGAAGCACAAAAAGTGTGCCACCATGTCGTCTTCTTCAAAGCAATATGGGTAAATGGACTTGTCATTTACGCCTATCACAGTCAGGTGTTTGTGCCATGTGAAGTGACCAGTCAGCAGTCCAGCAAGTTGTCTGCAGTGTCGTCTGCTCAGTGAGAGCAAAAAATTAGATAGACCTTGTGAGATTGAAGGCAACATGAGTTTTGCCCACCTGCACCCAGTTTCTGATGGTGGCTTCGATTGCCGAAGGTGGGAGTGCTAAAACTGGTTGCGGGCCGAGGAATGCCTGGTCTGAGCCAACTCTGGCCATATAATCAGATGTCTCATAACCAGGTACTCCAGAGTGACCAGGCACCCAGAGTAAAGCAACCTCGTTATGTTCACCATCATATTTTAGTCGAGACTTGCATTGCCGAACTATTTTGGAAGTACTTAAATAGAGGGCTGGTCAATTAAGTGCAACTTGGTTATCACTGCAGTCACGTAAACTCCTTCCCCTCCACATATGTTCCACCACGTAGTCCATGGCTTTGAGTATTGCAATTACCTCAGCCTGGAAGACCGAAGATATTCCCCTACAGAAGAGTCAATCTTATCTCCATTAACCTCGAAAAAGACCCCAGATTATGACCCAGAGTCAGTTTTGGAGCCATCAGCGAAGATTCGACAATGTGTGAGTCCGGTCTCAGTGATGGAATCAAACCAGCATTCAGTCTCAGGGAACTCAACATTATAGAATCTCTTCTACAAAGGTAATGGTGGCGTACAATGCTACAGGCATTGAAAATACACAAGAGCTTAAATCTCTGCCGCCAGAAATTTTCGCCGCGCCTCACTCATTGTCATACCAGCATTCGGTTCTTTTTAGTCTGCAGGTGGCCTTTAAGGCTTCCCCACGTATGAAAACACAAAGTGACGGTAAGTGCAGCAGTGCGTCAAGACCATTTGCGCAACCATTTTGGTTCTTTACATCGAAACCAGATAAATCTTCGTGGACCCCCATTTACAACTCATGGACCCCCATATTTGTTTCACGTCACCGTGGACCCCCGTCGAGTCTTCCGTGGACCCCTGGGGGTCCACCTGACGCCTTCTAGTCTTTTTAAGTGACAATCTACTCTATTACTTCAAATCAAATAGTTATGTATATATGTATGTTAGGGTGTTTCATTTATTGGCGATAATTTTTTTCCCTGTACTACCTGAAAATCTGATACTTTAGCTCTTTCGAAAATTCGATTTTCCATATAAATAACACGGAACATTTTTTTCCCGGTTTCAATTCGTTTTTTCGGTTTTTTTTTTTTTGTGAACATTTATATTTCCTGCTCTATAGCTCAAAAATGGTTGGTCGGACGGCTACATATAAATCTGGGTTGTTCCGGTTACGGACATAACGTCTAATTTTTGCGCTTTGCTGGCAAAGTTAGCGACAAATTTTAATCTGAAACGACCTTTAAAGTTGCTTCTTCCTTAAATATTATATCAAAAATGTTTTATTTCTATTTTAAAATAAATAATTCCTTAACAAAGGCATGCATGGAAGCCCCTTTTTCAACCCTTCTTGAACTTGTAGAATTGTTTCACTTAATACGACTTACCCAGCTTATCTTCAGGGGTATTGACATAAAAAAATGTTAAGGTATAGCGCTTAATTAGATGATTCATTTGATATATCTTTGTAGGTGCTCCTATATACATATGTATGTAATTCTCGTAGAATTTCGGCCTGTTTACATTTAACATTTCGTGTTCTAGGCTGTTCCTTTCTGCATATCATTGGAACCGGTTAAATGGATTCTTTTACATTACAAAACAAAGAACTGATACAATTGCCTCACCTACTTAGAATTACAATGCTTTCAGTTTTAAGCTATTTTTGAATTAGAGTCAAAACAACTATCTTTATGGTTGTAATTAGCAGGCAGTTAATCTAAGCTTTCTGTGGTAGAAGTCCGATCACTGGTTGTACTCGCGAAGTTAAGGCAATTTCAAAGACTGTGACTACGGCAACACTCCCCAAAAACTCTTTGGGGAATCTGTATGCTGTTACAACAACAACTTAGATGGTATGTCACAATGAACGCCTTGGGAACACGTTTACACTGATTATTTAATCGTGAAAATTGCTGTGATATTTGTAAATTAAGTTTTAAAGATATTAGTAATGATGTTAGTTTTTATGTTACTACATAATGCTTTGAAGCGGAGCGAAATAGAATAAAAATTAAACCAGCTGGTTGTCAACGGGCGCATAAAGATGGGAGTTGGCCATATTTTCGCTTGAGATTTCACCTTAGCTGTCAAAGCATATCTGTCACGCAACACGAAGCAAAAGTTTGATCTGACATGACTTTGAAAGATCCTCTCCAAAAGACCTTCTGAGGTGTGTATGCGCAACAAAAACCCTTCTGGAAGGCCTTCTCTGGCTAGCGAAATTAGCACTTCTTCAATTTTTTCCACTCCATATAAAATAGAAAGAAACCTAGGGTGGAAGGCCAAATGACTCACAAAAAGTCCTCTCGTTAGGGTTTTTAACTTCTGAAATTATCTACTGGGTCATTTTATATTGGAGTCAGTATTTTAACTGCAATAAAGCTTAACCAACCAACCAAGGTAAGATTAAATTCTTGTCTGTTAATGCATTCCTTCTTTGTTACAATACACGCGCCCACATAAACTGGCTTAATAAATTCAATCCAGTTGAGAGAAACGAAAAAAAAAATTTTAAATCGGTTGGCATTTCAAAAGCCGATCTACACAATGGCCTGCGGTTGGTTTGCTGTATTACGGTAACTCTTAAGAGTATTTTTTTGTTTGTGAGTATTTCTTGTTTGTGGCTACGTGACAGGCAAGTTAATTATTATTTTATTTATCATTTTTAAGGCACGCCAAGCAGCCTTTTGCCAGAGGCGCTAACGGTGCAGCAACGGCGGCAGTTAAAAAACAGCCACGATAGCAATTACAAGCAAATATTAAAGTTCGCTGTATTTTTCGCTGTATTCTTTCGCCTGGCAATTCAATCATTTAGAAAATTAATTTTATTTATTTTTTTTTTATTTTAGTCGCATTCAATTTAATTTAAATTTCTGCTAATGTGTAACAATGTGAACGTACGCGTATATACATGCATATCATACAATTTTGCACACAAAAAGTATACACAAATCACACATTATATGCAAATGCATGAACTCACATACTTTTGTACATAAAAGGTAAGCATTTCAATATTAATTAACTTCAAATGCATGTCAAATTGCAAGCTTTTCTCTCTCTGAAACAAATATGAATGTATTATGCTTTGCCTTACCTTGTCCGCCAGCCATCAGCAGCACAGCTACATGTCCAGCGCTAATTTGTCGCATTCCCTCTTCTTCGTAAGCCTTGAGACGCTCTTCCGCCGTACGCTCAATGCTGACCAACTTCGATTCTGGTATTGGTTGCATACGATCGTCCAGTTTAATGCCATTCTCTTGCAATGACTCAGTTGCACGATCGAAATAGAGTTTCAATTCGTTAAGATTAAGTTCCTCAATGTCACGCACTAAAAGCTCCTGCTGATCGAGTGTCAACTCCTCCCAGAACTTAAGTAAATGCTCCTGGCCCACCTTTGATAGGCGCTCGTACAGTGCGTCATAAACTGGCATGGTTGCTATTGCAAAGATTTCAGTGCTATTTATTTATATACTGCTCACTTTATAAATGTGTTTAAAAATGTTACAATAATTTGGCAATTTTTTATAAAACTCCAGATAAAAAAAACGCTTATGTATGTCGAAATAAGTAACAAAAAATGATCTTACAACAAACAAAAAAAAAACACAAAAAACCAAACGATACTTGTGCGAAAACGAAAACGAATTTTTCAACACAACAATGCTACTCGAACGCGCCAACTCAACGCAACTGCACACCAACGTATTTCGACCGCTACTGAGCTCAAGTGAGCACTTGTAGGTGCGATAAGTGCGCCAACAAGCCAATAGCTTACTTGGACGTCTGACTCTAATCGCTTCGCTTGGTTGGTTGTTTACTTTGATTTGTTTTTGTGGTTGCTGCCAAACTACATACATTTCCAGGCGGTTCGTGTACGTACAAATTAGCTTTACACAAAAACAAAAAACACCAAGACAAAAACTTGCCAACCAGCAGCGAGTGCTTACCCTAGCTTGAAGCTTCTTTTGCGTTATAGAGCTGCTGTTTTAATGGTTTTTAGAATGCAGAAGTCTTAACTAAACTGGTCTGCCCTGTACAAGATATCTGGGCGACCCTGAGCCAGAGTTTGCCAGCAAGTAACAGTGAAAGTGAATTGCCTTTTCAATTCTTGTGCGCCAAGCCTATCATTTAAGACAAGCGTATCATTGAGAATCAGATACGTACGTGGCATGCCCTTTTTGTGCTTACAAACATACATACATCCATATGTATAAATATATGTACACAGATGTTATGTTGTCAAAACAAAAGTGCCTGGAGTATGGTAGAGTATAGCAATTACGCAAAGTGTTAGTGGGGTAGGCATGCCTCCTGATAAGAAAATTGATAGTGAGCAGATAAGAAGAAAATTACTTCCGTTTGTGTTTATTTAAAGCACTTGCGAAGATTTTAAGTGATACAATAGTCGGCTATTTAAGGGATGATTCATATAATTATATAAAAAACGGGAAAAAATGTTCAATCAAAACTGAATTAAAAGTACTACGTATAGATAAGCACGTATTTTGGACGACTTCTGAATATTTGCAGTAGTTTCAGCTCAGTTCTACGTTACTACATCGACCGGGGAAGCCCGGAAAAGCACCGCCAACTAGCACACAACCAATCAACACATGAGGTACTGCTACAACAACCACTACAGAGCGGTGCAACATATCCTTTTCAATGGATTTTTGTATTCTTGCTGCAGAGGACGATACAAGAAAAATATGTGCTTGCATAAATAGCTCAAGGAAATTTAATAATAAAAAAATTGAAAATATGGACCTGTAGTGTATTTTAAAGATCCTCTTTTACTGCTAATGAAAATTGACTTTAATGCCTGCTGACAAAACCAAACTGTTGCCAGGGCAAGATATGTTTTCGTTGATGTAAATTAAATTAGCAACACCGTTGGTATTAAGCAATAACTTAATGATAATAAAGTACAATAGAATAGTGTTGCTTATAGCAGCCAATCAAAATAGCGCCAGCATTCACCCGGCTGTGCCACTTCTTGACAAACATCCATCGAATGTGTACTGGTTAGTCTTGTTTTCCGTATCTGCCGAACCAACTTCTGCATTGCTTGTTTCGACGATGTCTAATTTACATGAGCATATAAATAAATATGTACGTATATATGTAGAAAAAATCAATGGATCGATACCTATAAATTATTGAGCACACGTAGGCAATGGCCATTGTGGTACGGTAAGCTCTAGTGCTCTTTTCGCAAGCTCCTAATAATTTTCGCTAATTTAGTAAGCACTTTAGGGTTTTACATATTAAAATTGGTGATAATTTATTTAACTAACCGATTGTGCCAATATCCAATATGTAGATGTATGTTTATATGTACATATTTGCTTACCGTACTTTACGGCAGCGGACAATCTACCCATAATTTCCTTATGCCTCCCTCAAATACACTTTTCACTCGCAATTCATTTCTTCAGAATAGTGTTTGTTGAAAACTTTATAATGGTTTGCAAAGAAAACTAAATTATTTCTAGGTCGAAATTCAGCCGAAACACGAATTGTAAATTCTTCATTGTTTATATTCCACCTTGCCTGCTTTGGGAAATTGCCCAAAATGCACCGCTAGCTCGAACCGGTTTGGGACATTTATGCACTGGCGGGGTTAGAACTCCCGGATGTATTAATCCGAGTACATGATGTGAAAAATCGTAGTAGAAAATAAAGTTCAGTAACAGATTCTTTGTACAGGATTTTTGGCAGATATTTGAACATACGTAAACGGGGAACAGTTGGGGCCATCTGCTAAGTGTTCAGCACAAAATTTTACATAGCCCACCATGTTTATTTAAAAATTCGAGTCGAAATTTTAGGCTCGATTCTCGAAAGCCGCCTTGCACTCGACATGACACTTGCAATGAGGGTAAATAACAAGAAAAATACGAGTCCTCCAGGTGAGGACGTAGAAGGGAAAAATTAGAGACCAAATTTTTTTACATTATGAACCGGAAAAAATTAAAATTCTCCGCTTGAACGAGTTTGTATGTTGTATGGCGAAATGAAAAAAAGTAGGTTTGTCAAACCGCTTGTATGTTGTATTTCGCTCTTTAGAATTTTCTGTAATTCGGTAAAATTATAGGGTTGGGTGATAGTTTTTTAGAAACCAAAGGTTTAAAAAGAAATAGAAAATTGTGTTTGCTTACACCACGTTGAACTTTTTGAAAATTTACTTAAAAGTATGCAAATATTGCTGCCAATCCTTCTTTTATGTTTTACGAAAAGTATGCTGCGATATCTTCCCTTTGTGAATTTTTAATGATAGCATTATCTTCTACTATTTCAAACAAATGTTGCATATGTTATCGAGGAGAAATTATGAAAATTGTGCAATTTCCCATAAATAAAACCTTATACTTATGTTTAGATAAAGTATGTATGTTAATATTATTTCTATCATACCTTAAAAAGTATCCGAATTCAACGTTTCAAGATTTTATTAAAAGTAACGGCGTATTTGGCGGTCAAACAAAGTTTTTCTAATAACGGTCGCCCCTCGGCAGGTAATGGCAAACCTACGAGTGTATTTTTGCCAAGAAAACCAGCTACTCATAAAAATAGAGTCGCCTTTCTTATTCGGTGTTAAACTGTAGGTCCCTCCCCTTTGTGTGACAACATCAAGGCGCACACCACAAAACACTAACATATGAGTAAGAGCCAATCTATTATCATTATTAAAGGCGCCTGAAAAATTTAAAAAGCAAATATTTTCATAAATTTTTATTTCAGAAAATCGTAGTACGTAAAACGAAGCAGCGTAGCCATTGAAAATTTTCTCGAAAACAGTACTAAATATGTATGATCATAGGGAAGTCCTAGCCCTGTGCACTAGCCTGAATCGGTTTGGGATATATTTCCCTTGTTTTCATCGAAACTTCAGAAATCGATATATCGCGAGCTGCCATATCAATTATCATTTCCTGTATTTTTAGGGCCGGTTGTGCAATGTCTGGTTATCACTACTTGCAGGTTAAACATCATTATCGACGTTTTCGTCATCATGCATATAACATGTGATCGATAAAGCAGTCGTTGTATTTAACCGGAGCTTCTACCTCTGATTAGTGCTAATCAGACATTGAACATTCATTTCACTTAACTTGGGGAGTGGGTCCGGTTTCGATCTATACATACTATAACGGGGTTGTGCCAGAAATAGAACTGGGCCGAAATAACGGTAGTCGAGATCGTATGAAGCTCGAATTGAAATTTTCCTTCAGAGATTCGACAATTTGAATTGTATTTATTTGATTCGATTAAAAGAGAGTAATAATTCCATGACAAATACCGTGTTTGGGACCCTGGTGGTTCTTCTTATTTGGCACAGTAACCGCCCAAGCGAGACTCTTCTGTGCCAACTAACGCCAATTGGAAAAGCCAAGTGAGGCCAAGTCCTTCTCCACTTCGTCTTTTCATCGCAGTGGGGGCCTTCCTCTTCCTCTGCTACCACCAGCGGGTTCAGAGTTGTAACTTTCAAAGCTGGAGCGTTGGTGTCTATTCTAACGGCATGGCCAATCCAGTTTTGCATGTCGTTATAAAGCTCATATAGCTCATCGCTCCATCGTCTGCGCTAGTCTCTGTCGCAAGCGGGTCGTATATCTTCCACAAAATCTTTCTCTCGCATACTCCAAGAGCCGCCTCATCGGATGTTGGCATTGTCCATCTGCGCCATATACCTGCACAGGCATGATGAGTGACTTATAGAGCGAGATTTTTGTACAACTAGAGAGGACTTTACTTCTCAATTGCGTATTCAAACCATATTTGCACTTATTGGCAAGAATGATTGTCCGTCAAGGCAGACATCTACAAATCGGAAAAGGCAGGACAGACCTCTCAGTTTCTGTTACTGATGATGTCGATATCTGCCAGCAATTGCACGCTCTTGTAAAGTATTGTGCCGGATATTACAGAAATCGCACGAAAGCGAGTCGCCCTGTCTGAAACGCCGTTTGATGGCGAACGGCTCAGAGAGGTCTTTCCCAATTCTGACGGAGCGGGTGGTATTGCTCGACATTATTTTACACAGCCGTATTAGCTTCGCGGGGATACCGAATACAGACATCGCGGCATAAAGACTACTTCTTTACGTGCTACCGAATGCGGCTTTGAAACCGACAAATAGATGGTGTGTGTCGATCCTATTCTCGCGATCTAGGATTTGGCGTATTGTGAATACCTAATCTATGGTGGATTTGCCAGGTGTAAAGCCACACTGATAAGGTCCAACCAGTTCGTTGACGTACACGTTTAAGGACCAGTTGCTCAAAATGTTATTGTGCTTGGTAATCTTCCGAATCAAATCCAGTCCCGCCATATACTTTGATTTAGATTTTCTGGTTGTTATCGTTCATCTTTATCAGGCATTTCTAAAAATATTTTTGACGTTGTTTTGAAAATTAGCGATAGCGGCGTTCGGAGTCCCTCCTCTTTATGGGACAACATTAAGGCGCACGCCACAAGTCGGAGGAGAAGCTCAGCCAAATAGGGACACGAATTTCGATACGATACGATACCATTTCGATACTTTTGGCATTCGATACCGATATTTTCTACTCGATAGTTTTAAAACGATATTTTTTGGAATCGAGTACCAGAACCCTAGTATCGTATCGAATGTCATAAACTCACATTCCAACACTAAATTGAAAAAATACGCATATGAAAGAGCACCAACCCAACTCGTTTTAAATTTGAGTATATACATTATAAAATATGGGGTTGTGAAGTGCACAGATACTTTTTCGTAATTAAGAAGAGAAAAAATTAATTTTATGTTCCGTCTGATGGGAATTGAACCCGGACCCTCTTGGCCGCAACTAATTGTATCAAGCGTCTTTGCACACTCAGCTACAGCCATATATGTAAAGGTGTTTCAAATGTTGAGTGCATTATGTCATACCATGTATGTGTGTATGTGTTGTCACCGCTGTGCATGCTTCCCTGCAGGCAAAGCTACTAGTTGTGAACTAGAATTCTACCAGTTTGCGTTTCAGCCCAACTAGTTCACGTTCTATCCTTTTTCAATGTTAGCGACTGGTATTTTTAACATTGCGATGTCCTATGAGATGTCAATTGTTAGGCTATGCATCAGCATCTACTAGTAGAAATACTAGTAGCATCATACCAGTTGATGAGATAGTCTGCCAATTCATCCCCTATGAAAAGTATTAGTATGCCTTTTTGCTCGCGTCACTCCAAAAGTCGCAATGGCCGACGGAGCAAAGCACTCGCGTGGTATGCCTGAGGTACCAGGTTCAAGCCCTGGTGCAGGGAAAATTTTTTATTATTTTTTTTTTTTTTTGTAACATTTCTTTTATTTATATTTTTATTTAGGGGTTTTTTTGTTATTCTTAGATATAATAAAAAAATATTCTTTTTAATCTATTTTTTTATGGCACAAGTATTTCTTCCCATATATTTGTTTCTTTTTTTTTTGTAATGCATCTAGATTTTTAAGGTTGTTATTTATATTTAAATTGAAATAATTATTCCTACTTACATTGATCTAAATTTAAAAATCTTAACCACCTCCAAGCGGCCTCAAACCTGCGATCCCAGAACCAGAACCAATAGTCTTCACGTGACGCCACAGCCGGCATTTGTAAGAAAAGCAATTAATTGCGTTTTATTTTAGGCTTTGGCAATTCAAAGGCAGATGTCGCTGAACGCTTAAGTTCTTCAAAAATGTCGAACTGGTAGGCTCATACTAGTTTATGAACTAGTATTTTT